CTCACCGACCAGCGGTGGTCGGAGGCAGCGTGTGTCGCCCCCTCCCCTCCGTCTGCCGGACCTCGGCCCCATCCCACGCACGTTTGTGTCAGCGGTGTTGGAGAAAGCGCTTTCCTCTCCCCGCCTCAGTCAGCCGAGGGTGCCCGCCCTGCCCGGGGAAGGAGGGGATGTGTGTGGAGAGATTCAGCTTTCCCGAGAGCGGGCTGGCAGGTGGCGAGGTCTCTGTCCTGCCTCGCCTGAGGTGCGAGGAGGTTCGTGCTTCCCCCTGCTTGGGCTGCGTCTCTCTTTTCCCCTGCGGTCTCCAGCGTTTGTTTTACGTGCGAGTGCAGGACGGATACTCACTGCTTCCTCTTCTGTGATCCCTGGGGCTTGAGCCATATTTCTTTCTCCTCAGGCAGCCACTTTTTATTGAGTGTGTTAAGGAGATTTACTCATTTCCTTCTCTTCTTTGTTCCTGCTACTTTTCCCCAAAGATATCTGTCGGCAGGAAGGAAGGAGAAGACCCCATTCACTCTGAAAGCACGTTTCTGAATGCGGTGATTTTGCCGATTTCTAGCATGCCTGGAAGGCTCAGCTTTCAGATGCAAGAGTGACGTGTAGTTTTGAAGGCTGCTGTGCTTGTTCTTATCAGAGATCTGTGGCTGTTTATCCTATGACAAAGCGTGATATGTTTAGATTTTGCACTAGACAAGATTAGATGGGTAGCATGTGAAATGGATGTCACTTGTAATTCTTAGCTAATATTAAATGCATAGCTACTGGTGGCTAAGAGATTGCTCTGTACATGGTAACACTTAAAGAGGCCTTGACGTGAAGTTTTTTCTTCTAATGTAATTGGAAGAGCATAAGAAGGAGGGCAATATCATTTCCACTTGTCAACTTTCACCCTGCTAACCTGAAACTAGTGTGTTTCTAACTTGATGTGGTCATAGATGTTCCTGTCCAACAGGGTTGTAGTCATGCTGGGATGCTGTGTGAATGAACCAGAGAAGTACGTGGTTAGATACTCTGGTAGCTGGTAAAGACTCCAAAGTATGCAATAGATTAATATTCTGCATTACTGTTTCTATATAAGAAAATTTGTTTGAAATCTTGTTTCATGAATTTTGAGTAAGTGCTGAATAGGAAACTTTTTCAAGTGTTCCTTTTATTCCTTAGATACCAGGATCCAGCTGTGCCATGACAGTTTGATAGTATGACTGTTACATTGTACACTGCCAGATTCCTAAAACATCTCTTTATGTTAAGCTAAATTCTCTTATTTTGGTACTAAAATTAAGGTGTTTTCTGTGCAACTTCGATCTTGTATAACTTTTTATTTAGCTAGGAATGGTGATCTCTACTTGCAGTACTCAGTACTGGCATGAAAAACTTGGCTTCAGTTTCTTTTTTTGGGGTCTTCTGCTTCACTATATTCTACAGATTCTACAGGAAACTTTCCTTGAGTAAAGATTACAGGGCTGTAGTGAATGTAATTGTCATGTTGTATAAGGCTCACCTTTCCATCTCTTCTGAAGATTCTTGCTTTTGCTCTCATCCCGTGATACCCCTTGAAAGTTGAGTGGAGGTCAGAGTTGTATTAAATTAATGTTGCTTTAATGTACATTTCGAGGTTTAGAAGGATGGGTGTAAAATGTCTGTCCGTTTACTTTCAGCTTTTTTCTGGTTAGAGTCAAAGCAGTGTCTCTGTTTATCTTATCTTGAAAGTAATCAAATATGAAATGAGGATGTCATGTGCTGATGACAGTACATGTTAAAGCGGGGGGGGTGGTTTTGTATCCCAGAACTTGTATTTTTGGAGCAGCCGGTATAACTGGAAAAACTCTTCTGTGTGCAAACCTTATCTTGGTATGTTGTCTTTCAAATTGTATATGAAATAATCTTGAGTAAATACGAGGAAGAATTTCAAGTTGACTTGCTTGCACCATGGTTTGTGACTGAGCTGGTGTTCTGGGTCTCTTGTTATTGTTACTATGTACTTTGGGGGGGAGGGGGGGAGGTTTCTTCATAGAACAGCTAGAAGCAATACTCCTGTTTTGCAATGATTTGGCAGTTCTTTTACTTTTTATGTTCTCTTCCCTAATTGTCAATATAATAAAAGCTATTTCAGATTTTGTGGACTTCATATGGTTTTCTCTTTTAGGGTGGAACTTTTAATGTGAAAAAAGTGATAATCTGCACAATGAAACATTTAGTGCTATAGAAATAAGATTGCACATTAAGTATCAGTGGTGGAGTTACACATCCTGTCCTCAGAAGTCACTTACTGCATGTTCAGAACAGTGGAGTTGGGCAGGCTATTGAGCCTGTTGGCTTTAATGTAATCGGCTACGTGAACATACATTGTAGACTACATAGTGAGACCATTTTTTATCTTTTTTGTGTATCATAAATTAAAGTGGTGACTCAGCATAAGTGATCTAGGGTACTGTAAAATGTTAAAACCAAAATACAGTGTTATGACAAGGAAAGTTAAGTGTATTTTTTTCATGTTTTTTTGCAGAAGATCTTCATGTAACTGGCTGAAAAATGGTTCTGCAAGATGACAGCACCAACTCTAACACTGTTAAAATGGTAAATAAAATAAAAAAAAATTTAAAAAGATCTCCATGCTATTTGCTGAAAATTATAATGATATTAAGAAATGCCTTTTAAATGAATATTCCTTCAAATGTCAGATTTCAACTGGTATGTTTAAAGTTACACTATGTGGAAAGCATATTTATTTCCTAATAATGGAAACAGAAGGCAAACATATGTTGAAGTTTCTACTGTATTTAATAGAGTAGAACATTGTATTTACTTTTAAACCATCATTTCTATTTTACCTTGTATGTCTTTTGGTGGCTTAAATTTATCATAACTCTGTGCACTTGATGAATTAAATGTTTTGTAAGGGTAAACCCATGTTCTTAGAGAGAAGTGTCTTGTACAGTTCTCGTTTTAGGTGTCAGATATTATATGAATATGGTAAACTTTTATCCTTATCCTGAAATGGGTTGATTATTGGTAATAAGCATTGAACAGGGTTCTGTATGATCAGTTCCAGTCCAGGACTAGCGCCCACAGCAGATCTTGCATGCTGATAGCGGGTAAGATATATGTCTTGCATAATAACTGAATTTAGGTGCAACTTCTGCAAGTGGTTACTTGAGCATAGCTAATATGGATTAAGTAGGGGCCGAAAGTAAGCAACTGAATAGTATCTTTCTCTTAGTGATGTTTGGTTTAGTGTGCATAGAGGGAAGAATTTTTAAGCATCTCTTTTGCTTTCTATTTATTTTTGTTGTTATTATATTCAGTTCTTTTGGGTGCATAAATTAGGCATGCACAAACTGTTCAAGCTTTGTATGGATAAAAGTCTTCTGGTTTAAGTCTTGGTTATCTGAGATACTGATCTTAATCTCTAATTAGGTTGGTAGTGTAAGAAAAATATGACCAGCAGCTATTGTTTGTATGTGAGGGCACTGAACTAAAGTGTTCAGGATCTACAGTGAGCATAGGCTTTGTGGTATAGAAGATGGATAACCACATACCTGTGTCTTAAAACTACATCTTCAATTTTATTTTTTTTTTTTAACCAGTTACAGTCACTTAGTAATGTGGTAAAGGGTTTGAGCTTGCTGGATGCTAAGCAGTGTGTAAATCTTGATGAGTTCAGTGGAGGCTGAATCAGGCTTGTGTGGTCCATCTTTATAGTCTACCTCTTAATCTAATTTGCAATAGGTGAAAAGCATCAGTTTAACTTTTGCCTCCTATTCACAGTTTATAATCTTTCAGCCATGCTTGACAGGTAATCAAAAGCAAAATTTAGGGTAAGCATTTAGTTTTGCCCTTACTGCTACCTCTGTTCTGCACACTAATTTGTGACTCATTAATATAGGGTATAACTCCTGTTGATACAGGGTATCCCTAAAACAGAGCTTAGCGAGGTTTCACATGAATAAGAAAAGAAAAAAAATCTAGCACTTCCAGGCAATAAAACTTACGGCTTTATTATTTGTGGTTGCCAGTTCCAGTTTTGTTGTGCCTTCTCTTGGAGCACCATATACTTGCCCACATCTGGATTTGCAACTAGTTGCAGATTAGATGGGCTTCCGATTGGTCTAGTATAACATTTTTTCCAAAGTCCCTTATGTATAATGTTTCTTTCACTATATAACAATTTTAAAGTGGATTTTATTAAATGTCTTTACAGGATCTGTGTTTAAAATAATTTAAAAAAAAGTTTTATGTAAGGTTTTTTTTTTTTTTTAATACAGTAATAATACTGTATCAAATTAAGGAAAGATACTGGGCTTCCACAAGAAATAATGTGGAGGTGTCTTACCTTTCTAGATTATTTTAAGGCCAAAAACCTTATACGCTCTTCCACTACCTTCCTAATTCTAATGTTTAAATTCTTCGCTTAGGAATGTAGGCTTAAGAAATAGGGCCTTTCTCTGCATAGCTTAAAAAAATTGGAACTTAACATCATCAGGTTCTTCTTTCTCATGTGAACCTCTTATATTCAATTAATAAGGAAGGGATCATGTTCTTTGAAATATCAAAAATAGTAAATGATCGTGTTTTCTTGCAGTTCAGTCTGTCCTGCTAGCATTTTTGATGTGGACCAATTCTGAAGGTTCTATATCTGTATGTCCCCAATATTTAGGACTTGAGCTGTGGCAGACACTTGTGGAACTTGAAATTTTAGAAAATGTTTTGCAAAGATAAGTGCATAATATGCACACGTGCACAATTTTTCAAACTTTGCTTTTTTTTTTTTCTTTTTAGGAGACTGTCTTCACTTTGACATGATGTGTGAAGTTTGTTAGCTTTTTTTTGTTTTTTTTACAGTTACTGTGGAAGGTATGTATGAGAAAAGTAAATCTTGTTCTTTCTGTGTTCATTTTTATCACAGCATATTGCTGTCAATGTACAGAAGCCAAGTATAAAGAAATGCGTGGAACTGTATTTCATTACAAGTTCATGAATGCTCGTACTTGTTTCAATAAGTGGGATAATGTGTCTGTCTAAAACTTCTCAAAATAGTAGTTTCTATCTGTCTTTGCATTCTGTGTGAAGTTTTACAGGTTTTAATTCTGTCCTAAAACTTATATACTGAGTTTCAATAGGGTTCTGTTTTTCTGCTGAACATTATAGGCATTCTAGTATTGCCATTTTGTAATTTTTTTAGCCAACTACTAGCTTGAAGGTGCATCGTGCTGCATGATGAAGACTTTGTAGTCACCCTTTCTTGTTCAGCTTCTTCATTTGTTATGGAAGAACCAAGCAAAGGGCTATATTAGGCACGCAGAAATGTTAAACAGACACTTTGCAGTCAGATGAGAAAGTAATAGCTGCTATTACTGTAACATATAAAAAACTTCAAGACATAAGTATGGGCTCTTTAATTAGAATTTTAATATTATAGGTAGAAAAGAAATGGTGCAACGTGTACTTCTACTCTGAATAACTTCATATGTAACCTCTTATCTAAGAAGTACTAGATATTCTATCATCCTTTACTTCCCTCATGCTGAGGGATCTTAAAGCAAGGGATTTGTACAAGCCTAATGTAGACAAGTTGAGTACAGTATTAAGCAACTACAGAATCATGCACAATATCTGTGCATGATTTCTATGCACAGTGTATACATGCTATATGCTTTGCAGCAGTTTGTGGTGAGAACAGAAGTGCTAGGGATGCGAGCATCTGATGTAGAGATGTTAAACTGATCAGGCTACTGTGATTCCTTCCTGTCTCTAGCCACCTCTCCTCCTCCTACCTGCAGCACATAACTGGTGGAAGGCTGGAGTGGTTTCCATTTCTGGTATACCTTGCCACTGTTCATGTGTCATGCTGTAGCCTGACAAAGAATGAGATTATTTCCTTCTTGGAACTTTTTTATGCCCAGCTTCAATTTTTGCTGCATATTACGCAAACACATGAGCAATTTGTAGGCTATTTATAATATAACTTAATAAAATGGCTTGTAGGCTATTAGTCATAATAAAATGAAGGCAGAGTTTGTAGAGTGTGATGTGTAGTATCTATTAGACCAATTCATAAAAACTGAAAAAACCCGTGTAAGCTTTCAAGCATGAAAACCTTTCTCTTAGCTTACTCAAGTTTAAGATATCCCTATTTATTCTTTCTTTGAGAACAAATGTTTTCTCCTTTATTCTGTATCAAATAAAAACTGCAATTACTTTCTGAGTCTTTCGTAACTTTGCCCCTCCCCACTTACAGACCTCTGCTTTCATTTGTCAATCCCACCATTTTATCAGAAAAGCAGAATAATTATCCAGAACTGATGCCTACACATGGAATATATCAGCATAGATCTAGTGGTATAATTATACTTCAGGAACTCTGCCTGTTGATTTTTCTTTGGAAAGAAGCTCTTTGAGAAATGGAGGAAAAAGTGTCAAGATTGGAACATGGCAGAGACTGTATTGCAAAGGAGAGGCCTGAGTCAAAGGTAGGAAACAGTGTAGTGATCTCAAATGCACTTGTGCCTATCTAGACATTTAAATCATTAAACTGAGGAATAGGCTAGTCTGGAAAAAAGAAATGTAGCTTCCTCACTGAAGACACTGTAGCACTGTCTCTTTCATAAATAATTTGTAAATAATGAAAAGACAGTAAGTGTTTGTATGTTGACACGTGTGGAAAAAACAGTATAGTTTAAATTCACCAAACTGTATTAGCAAAGCAGATCACCTCTATTTACTGGGAGAGCCAGGAGCTGCTCCATAAAGGTGAATTAGATTTCAGTTCCTTGAGGAGTTCTCTCAAAGATAGTGAGTGTTTGAGTTCATGATGATAAATAGTAAGGTATGTTACGTAATCTGTAGCAAACTAACTCTTAATAAATCGGTTCTTAAAATATATACATAAATAAGTTAATGTTAATCATAGAACTACCATATACGTATCTTACTGAGGCTCATTAGAGAGTACGTAAAAGATTCTAGTACAGGTATCCCGATGAATGAGACATCAGTCTCTGTCACTTGTATTTGAAGCTTTTTAATCATAAAATTGAAGGTTTCCCTAAATTTAGGTCTTCTAATGGGCAGTCGTAAAGCTGTATCACAAATCTGAATCTCCTTCTAGTAGCATTAGTGGATATGGGAACACATGTAGGTCTGGTATGCTCATGATTAGCTCTTGTCTGGAGCAGGTCCAATGGATCTCGTAATTTTTTTGAGTTAAAACAGAAGCAACATTTTTAAAAGCTTGTTTGCCTCACCTTTCTTATTTTTTTGGAAAGTACTTTAGTGATCTCTTAACATAACTTTGGTGTTTTCAGTAATGTTAATACTTACTTTTAGTGCAAGCTGTACAAGGTCAAACCCTCTAAAGTCACAGTGTACCACTTTTTGGCCAACCCAAACAATATCAGTTCTGTTCTCTTGTGTTTACTCTGTGCATTGAACAAAGCAGAAGTACTCTGCCTACTGAAGGAAAAGGAAAGAAGGTTGGTCATGATCTATTTACACGCTGCTGTAGTACTCATCTCCTGCATAAATTTTAATGTTTTAACTGCAAATAGTCTTCTTCCTAATAGGAATTTTTGCTGCTCAAGCCATATCTTCAGAATTTTCTGTTGAGCGGTATACTCTTACTCTTCCAGTATGTAAAAGCAGTTGGCTATAAGCATTTAAACCCAGCTGTGCTTTTCTGATAATTCACTAGAATTGCTTAAATTGACACCTTTCTATTACTACCTTGAACAAAGACTTCTAGGAGCTGTGAGGTGTGTATAGGAAAAGGAAAACAGGTTTGTGTGTGTCAAAATCCAAACTTGTTTATGCTGTAATTTCTGGCAAGTCTGCATGACTTTTGTACTAGATGACAAGCTTAAAGCTAGTTTACTGCTGTAGTTTTGACTTCTCAGAATATGAAGTGTTCTTAATTGATTATTCCTATGTGTAACATAGCGGGGCACAGTCAAAATCATTATCAATGTTCTGGTTTTTTTTTTAATCGGCAAAGCTTTCTGTTGCATATATTGTATGCTTACTCTTAGTTTGATAGGTCTTCACTAGAATTGGTGCGTGCCTGTATTCATAAATTACCAAATAGATATATAAATTTTTTGAGTTCAAGTGCATGTGTAATCTAATTTTGTAAGTTTACAATTAAATATTCTTTGGTGGTTTTTTTTTCTTGAGTCACTTTATGCTTTGAGGGATCATAATTTACCCAAATGTGTTGCTATGTCTTTGGAAATGTCTGTTGCATGCTTAAGTTTAAACATGTTTCTGACTACCTTTAGTAGAATTGTATCTGACACAACACATCAAACTAATTTCTACTGTCAGCCTAGAGTATCTGAATTTACCAAAACACAGTGGCTTCAAATTTTGCAGAATTCGTAGCATAGAAATTCCAAAAAGGCATTGTATGTTTTACCTACCTTTGCTTACTTCAGTGGTAGAACAGTTGATAAATTGATTCTTGAAAAGTTACTTACTTTCTAATTGCCCCTAACGTTTCTGAAAATCTCATGCCAGATCTGTCAAAGATCTGCTTTTTAACAAACATAAGCATGTGTTTCCTGACATATTGTGTCCATTTCGTATATATGAAACACTTGCCCCCACTGTTTGTTTGGGTTTTGGGGGTGGTTTTTTTGGTCACTCTTTGTAATCTTTTGGGTTTTATTCCTTTATCAATCTTGAATAGGTTACAAATGGTGTGGGTTTTTATCATGAATCGAATGAGCTCCCAGAGCAGTTCATCCACTCAGCGTAGGCGAATGGCTCTAGGAATTGTCATTCTTCTCCTCGTTGACGTGATATGGGTTGCCTCTTCAGAACTCAGTTCTGTAAGTATTGTTCCATGCATCTTAAAAAGGAAATAAAAGCCTATTTAAGAGAAAGATGCAGCAGAAACATGGTCACTCAAACACTCAGTGAGTGTTCTAGTGTAATGTTTAACCACCTTTTCAGCATGGGGAAGATGATATCCCTTGGGTTAGTGAACTAACCTGTATCCACTAGAAGTTACAAACAAGTCAACTTGGTGACTCTTGTTTTCAAGACAGAAGGTGTTATTGATGACTTTAAAATTAAACACTATAAGCTCATAACTATGTACTCTAATTAGAGAGTTCATTTTGTTTATTGCCATATTGATTAAAATAATGCCCATATGTTTCCCAAGAAGTAGTAGATGAGCTGTAACATTGCAGGCTAGGTGGTATGGTAGATTATAGTTCAGAACATCTAGAAGTCTAGGACCAAAGGACTCGGGTCATGGAGTTTAAGCCCTATAATTGCAGACAACTTTGTCATAATCTAGTTCATATATTCACCATCTTGAAACTGATTTGGTTAAGTTTTAGGACTTAAAACAGAGCTTTAGCAGTGGAAATTGAGTTTTTAATAAATTCTTGTAAAATTCAGGTTTCTGAACTGTCATTAAGTTATGTTCTATATCAGTTTTGAAACTAAGCATATAAAAATGTTTGTGCTTAACATACTATTATATTAATAAAACATTTTTTCCAGTGAGCTGGTGGAATCACTATTGGTACTGAAATGTTACTTAATCAAAGTGATCTCCTCTAATTTGTGATTACTGTGCTATTGCTTATAAAAGTAGTCTTTCATTTAGAAAATATTTGTATGTAAATGTATTTTCAGTCCTATTTGAGTTCAGTGGCATGTCAACATGTTGCTTGGTTAGATACAAGTAATAAGTAGCTTTTCTCTGGTGGCATAGTATCTTCCAAAATGGCTCAGTGCCTTCTTGTTGGCATTTAAGATAGCTTGGGAGAGGGTACCCCCAGAACAGGTAGGGCCACTTGTGTCTTTTGCTCATACATGCCAATACTCGCAGCACTGTCATTTTGGGAACCAGACTGTTCTGGACTGTATACTTAAACCTGTTCATTCACTTTGTGAATTCTCACCTAATTGGTAATTTTGGATACTGCAATTATTTTCTTTCCACAGTATGTTTTTACAAAGTACAACAAACCTTTTTTCAGTACGTTTGCAAAAACATCCATGTTTGTTCTATACCTCTTGGGATTTATTGTTTGGAAACCATGGAGGCAACAGTGTACTCGTGGATTTCGTGGAAAGCATGCAGCTTTTGTGAGTATTTTAACTCTGTAAATGTTTTGATATTTGTTGAAGTTTGTGCAGAAAAAACTTAAAATAGGGACTAGAGAAAAGCAAAGTTTATATATTGTGAAATAGTGCTTTCAGAAAAGCAATTATAAACTGAATCACGGCACAGGAAGACATGGCAATCATAATAGTAGTCTTGTGAGAGGAAGTAAAGAAAGGAAAAAGCAATGTGGAATGCATCGGGAATCGTAAGAAATGCTCTACTGGGCCAGACTATTGGCCCATCTAGCCTAGTATTTTATCTTGGACAGTCGCAGAGGATGATTCTTTTTAAGAAGAGCTTATGAGCCTCACCACTATTAGCTCTTGGTTCCCTTTTACTTCCCCAACATCTGTAACCAATGGAATCAGTATTTGAACTTTGTAGTTCATTTTTATTACTGACTCTTTTTGGCTCTGGCAGAACTATGAACTGTTTGCTAAGAGGTTTTGAGGTTTTTAAAGTTATGTTTAGGAAAGGTGGTAGAATTATGTTTTCATTGTTGTTAATACTGTATTTTTATAGCCTTTATGCACAAATGACCTCTGTTGCCCATTCTAGAACTAGGCATAGTTTGTGCTAGAGTCTAAAATTATTGTCATATTACAGAAATACATACTTTTGTCTAAGGAAATTAAGAGATGCTGGGAGGAGCGCTTGTTCTGTGCCAGTGTTTCAGAACGCTGAACAGCAGGACTCAGGAAGCAGTAAGGCATTTGGCCTGATATTAATCTTGCATTAAAATAACAGAAAATGTGATCCAAGAACATGCTGTTAATCAACATGTCTTTATAGAAAATAGCTTGTATGAAAGGAACTGACTTCAGTTCTTCTGGATATATTACACTTCACTGATAGTGACAGTTGTAGGCGTAACATACTTAAATTGAAGTGTTACATGACATTAAGCCAAAAGATTTTTATTTAAAAAAAAAAAAAAAAGCCAACACAAAACCAGAAAAAAACCCCAAAACCAAAAAACTAAACCTTTTGGTTTTTTTTTTTAAAAATCTTGTGTTAAAACGCATGGAACATCTAGAGTTGGCTGATACCTTGAAACAATTTTTGCTAGATCAGCTGTTAATATCAAGTGTCTGTGCATAGTACAGCATGTGTTAGACTTGATGCTGTTCAGGATCTTCATAAAATAATCAGGAAATAAACAGAATTTACAGATTCTTTACTGGCAGTAATGACAAATAAGGATGATGAAAGCACTAAAGGATGATTAGTTGTACAGAGCAATTCTACTGACCAAACTTACTCATCTGCTCAGATTAATAGAATAAAGGGCTATTGCCTAGTGTGAATTGTAGTGGTTAGACCAACTGAATCTCATGCAGTGCTATGTCAAAGAAAGATAATATGAACTTATATGAACTGGATAGCAATGAATAAAAGTGCTCAATATGTCCTATTTTGTGTGTCGCACTCATGGCACCACTACTGGAATCTTTTTTTTTTTTTTTTCCCTTTCTAATCCTATAAAAAGTAATTTTTTAAATAATTTGTAAGAAATAGCCATTACTTTTGATGTTAGCATATTTCAAAAGAACAGTGCAGAGACAGGACTGTAGTGTTGAGTTAGAAGATTCCACACACCCCCAAGGAGTTTAGTTAAATATTCAACTGTATAATTATTACAAGTGCCTTTAAAATGTCTTGTGATTATTAATCTGGAACAAAAATTATACATTTATAGATTTTTTTTTTATTTTTTTATTTTTTTATTTTTAAATAATGATTGCTTAGGTAAACACTCATACCTTACTTTTAAGCCCTCTTCCACATTAGAAGCTTTGTTTAAGAGATTTCTTACCAGCATGGTAGAACAGCAAGCTGCAGGTCAGGGAACAGGGGTAGTAGTGCTTGTTAAGATGCAGAAATGAAAAGGAAGAATGATACTTGACCTCATCCTAATTTAAGTCTTGTTAAAACTAAGGCAGAGTTCCAGGTTCTTATGCAAAGGAACTTTGCCTCAATAAAATGAAGAAACAAGAGGCTTGTTGTTAATCCATGTGCAATAATTTAGTGAAGCATGTCTCGCTAAGACTGAACTTTACAGGTTTTGGCATTCTAACAGCCAGATCCTGCACTGATACCTGGGTAGTTGAATTCAACAGGGTTCTCCAAGAGGTACAGGGAATTACTGAAATTATTTACTGAACTTGTAAGCCCTCTTATTTACTGGGGAGGAGGGCTGGAGGGAGAGAGGGAATTGTGATAGAATTATGGAAGAAGGCATTAAAAAACTTATTGTCAAAAAAATGCAGTTATTAATAACTCTGCCTTGATAGAGTATTACATTTAAGGTTCTGTAATTAGTTTGCAGATGCTGAAGGTTATTTTGCTGCTTGTACAACAGATAACACTGTAAACAGTTCTCTGGTAAGTACCTTAATTTGTGAAGGTCAATGCTTTACAGTAACATGATGCTATTATCCTGACTTACTGGTTTTAAAACATGGCGGTCTTAAATGTAATAGTTTTTGGCAAAGGGGATTGGTAACTTAAATTTTACTAATAAGCAATGTCATTATTTGCAGCACTTATTATGAGAAATACAGGTTTTCAGCTCAATAAAACACTTGAATGCTTCTGTAGTAGTTTGTGAAAGAAATATTTATGTTGTACAAAGGAAACCTTTGCATATTCAGCTCAGTAGCTGCCAAAGCAAAATGTGGAGAGCTAGTGGTAAAGCCCAACAGTTTTCAAGACTAAAATCCATGACAGAATCATTCAGTTAGTTGAGTATCTTCTGTACTGTGATCCTGCGTTGCATTTTGAAAGAGACATGGACTGCTTTCTTCCTTCCAGTGGACAGAAGGAAGAAACTGTTTTACCGAATCAAATGTCGGTACTGGTATTCTGCTGATAAGCTGCATCGCCAGGTGGCATTTTTGTGGTGATTTTCATCATCCATAAATGATGGTTTGTTATGCCCCTGTTGATCACAGATTGCTGCTTAATCTGCATACCTAAATCAGAGGCCACATGCAGAAATGTATTCAAAACACAGAAGTTTTAAAGTTTGCACCATCTCTGTAATAGAGTAGGGGGAGGCAACTGTATGTTGACAAACTACCATATGGGTATTTTGTACTGTATAGGGAGTTGAAGAGACACTTTTTCAGAAGTATTCTTCATTTAATTCTTTGGTTTTTTCCAACTTCATTTATCTGCATTTAAGAAGAAAATCTTCTTAGTCTGCTCAATTCATTAAGATCATCTGACTCTAGAAGAAGGATTCATTGTTAACCTTGGACAATTTTGCATTAATTTAAACATCCACAAAAATTCTGGTCCTAAACAAGGAGCCTAATGCAGATGCAGCTACCAGATCTTTGTCATTTCTTCCCTCTTACAGTTTATTAATTTAATTTAAACAAGCAGCTTAAAACTTGTCTCGTTAGAAGTATTTTAAGCAATTAAAACTTCTGCTAAGTGCCTTATATATTGGAGTTCCTTTCCCAACGTTTTTTGACTTTTAGTTCTAGTTCATGAGCTTTTAGGGTTATGGGAGGAAAATGAGTATGTATTCATTTTTGTATATGTATTCTGTACTTTGTTTCTAGTTCATCATTTGGACATAAGCTATAGATCTAATGAAATGTCTGTGATTTTGATGAGTTATTTTTTTAATTTTAAATCAGTAGATTTGATTTTTCTGGGGCTGAGTTTTGTGTTCATGAGGATATACACAAGAGCGCACAGTTATTTTTGAGTACTGCATTTTACCAATTTGTTTAACATAAAATATTGTTTTATATATGTTCATATAGATGTATGAACATTTTTGACAAGCCTATCCACTGTGTGCAAAACCACTTTGTTAAATTTGATTCTCTTAATATTCACCAAGCTTTTCTTTATTTAGTTTTCTAATTTGCTAAATTAATTCTACTGCTTACAATTTAAATATCCTGCTTAACTGTATTTTTACTTATACTGATTCATTTCAGAGTGAACCTTTATATGTTCCTGTAAAGTTTCATGATTTGCCAACTGAAAAAAATGGCAGTAATAATAGTGATGCAGAGAAAAGTGAGTAAAGACTTTTGGAATGCTGAAATGCTAGTTCTTTGGTGAAGGAATTACTTTCCTCTTTGTTGGTATAACTGCTGTCATGTTGCAGGACTTGCCTCTATCTCCCCGCCCCCTCTTTTTAAATCTCTTATTGCATGAATTGCAGTCTCATATATTTACTTTCAGGTAGAGAAAACATAGGCCTATCGTTCAGTTTACCTTTCTTGGTCACTACAGATCCAGCCTATGTTTATCTCAAGGGACCAACTGGGTTCAGTACTTGTGATTCTTTCCTTCTGGGCTTGTATGACCAGCAGCAGTGAGTCAGCCTCTGGAAAAACAAGCTATTGTCCTTTTTAGAGCAGGAGCAAAGCAGTCAAAGTAAGAATTTTAACAGTCTATGTGCATTCTGATTTTATTTAAGCCTCACTATCTTGTGACAGTAGCTGAAATGGGCCTAACTGTCCCAGACAATTACAGAAAAGTTGGCTGTCAAAGAGTCCAATTATCTGATCCTCAGCAAAAAAGTCTCTGCTTATAAAAGGGAAAGCCTCTTTGTTAATTTCTAGATGACACATGTGCAGAACCGCTTTGGTAGGCTCTGCTGTCCTGTGATAACATGCACCAATCACTTCAGGGTTGTTGGAGCTGTAGCTTTTCCCTTTACTTTTTTTAGGAAATTAGGTATTGTTTCATGTTGAATTAGTCTAATATTTATATGTAACGTGTAATGCTTTCTTTACACAGGAAACTAATGATATGTACAATACCCTTATAAATAAAATCTGATCCTGGTTTGCAAGATTAGTTAGAGGGTGGATTTCAAATGAGCAAGTGACCTTATGATCTCTGCTAAGTTTTGAGGTCTGTTGGACACTGTCATCCTCTGAATGAAACACTGTCCTTGCAGTTAGGTATAGTTGTGTGCAGTTTTTGGCTGTCTGACTATTAAACAATTAAAGAAAATCTTATATGTAATATTTATCAATACAGAGTAATTCCTACCTAAAAATTTGTTGTTACCTTGTGGGGATTTTTTTAACAGGGAGGAGGGATGGTGCTTTTCTGTGAGGTTTTTGTGGATGGACAACTGTACTGATTGAAAACAATAATTGTGTTTTGTCTTATTAGCAGCCTATCAAATAGCAAAATACTAGTTTAATAAATAAAAATAATGGCATGTCTTCTATTTGGATAAAAACCTGTTATTATTTGTGAAGTATTGTAATCAATGCCGTATTCGAACATCATAGTTTTATTTGCATATTGTGTTGGCTTGAAAAGTTTAATGATAACATGCAGCCTTTTTTTTTCTTTTTTTTTTTTTTTTTTCCCCTCTCCCCTCTTAAGCTCCCAAAAAGCCTCGTGTAAGGTTCAGTAATATTATGGAGATTCGACAGCTCCCATCGAGCCATGCATTGGAAGCAAAGTTGTCTCGTATGTCATATCCAACTGTTAAGGAGCAGGAATCAATATTAAAAACTGTAGGAAAACTCACTGCAACTCAAGTAGCAAAAATCAGCTTTTTCTTTTGCTTTGTGGTATGTGCTCCATTCTTTCAGAAAATTTAAGTATAGATGCAATTAAAACTTGTATAATAATAGTGAAACAGTATTAAGGTGACTTGCATTCTTCATGCCTCATTTTATAAATATACTATAAGAAGTAAAACTTTCCTCATGTGCTGGACATGAAGATGCAACTTTTTAAAAGGAGGGTAATAAAAAGAGATCCTGGGTGTGTAGTTAACTGTAAGGTCAGTTGTAAGATATGCCATGCTTTTGTGCCATGTTGTCCGGTGTATGTTTGGTACAGCAAAATCTGGGATTACATGTGTACAGGCTGTTAATAGCTGCACTGAGACTGCATGAAATGGGTAAATGTCACTATGACTTCTTTCTGGGCCATCAAAGAAAGAGTACCATCTTATGCCTCACTGTGGCATTGTGCCCTCCGGTAGTATGATGAGAAGATAGATAATTGTCCTTCAGCTCCATTGAGAGATTTACTTGTCAATCTGCTGATTGCTGGTGTTGCTGGTGTTTCTGCACCATGCCTCAGTTCTATGGGAAGAGAGAGTTAATGGTGGCAGGATTTCTGAGAGACAGTAAAAATGCAGAGAGCAGATCAGTGATAGCTTTTCTAGAAGTAGCTTCACTGATACTGCCGAACAGGTTATATGTAGTGTGGACCCACCACACCTTTTCCTCGGAAAGCTGTACTCTTTAAACATTTAAAATCATAATAATAGTAAAAAAAAATAGTACTGTGGATGCATAGACCAGAAAATGGTGGTGTAATTTTCCGTATTCATAAAGAACGCGCACACAGCAGCAAGAGAATAATAAGCCGCTCATCTAATCCATCCAAAATCATTAATAGCTTTGTAAAAAATTACTTAAAATTCTGTGTGTCTGAGTATATTTCCATATATACACATGCAGATTTTCTAGGGTAGAATCCTTATGTTCAAAACAAATCTTGCTGATGGTATTCATGGATGCTACTACTACTGGCATGTATGTGTATTTCTTCTTGGACAGTATAAATATTTCCACCTAAGACTTTAGAGAATGGTAACTTCCCTGAGGATATATCTGAGATCTCTAATGAGATCTCAATCAAGAAATTATAAAACACTTGCTGGTTTTTATGCTTATGAAGGAATTCACAGACATGAATCCTTCCAAAATATTTTTGAGGTATTGAATGTAAGTGATGCTTGTTTTTTAGGATGGAGATGTGTGCCTGTTTTAAGTACTCTGAAAAAACTTATTAGGCTGACTAATGTCCCATGTATCTCTGAAACTTCCTTGCAGCCCTTGTGCAGTAATCATCTTGAAGCACTTGCAAAACAAGTTAAAAGTACCTTCAGTTACTACAGAATAGCTATTATAATTTCATTTTAAGTACTTAATTGTGTTTAAGTTCTGAAGTATGTTATTTCATTATTAAACACGTAGCTGAATGTGGTTGGTTTGGGCCAGTTCTAATTTTGCCTCTGTCTTTTAATGTACCTGCCACTTTAATAGAAGTTAGAAATCTATTTGAGGTAAAAGTCTTGTTCTGTTTTTATTTTTGAACAAATAGTTGGGTTTTTTTTTTCCTTTAAGTAGGATTTTATTGCACTGATAAACTTAAACTCTGCTGTTGCTATCCATATAGTCACGAAATTGTTTTTCTTTTCCCCCAGTGGTTCTTGGCAAACTTCTCTTACCAAGAAGCTCTGTCAGATACCCAAGTCGCTATAGTTAATATCTTGTCTTCAACCTCTGGTAAGTTTTATTTACACTATCAGATGTACGTTATAAGGCTGTTTATAACATAAAAATCTTTTTGGTTACAATGGACTTGTGTAATGATTTACCTGTGGTTTTGGGGGAATTGTAAGGCTTAAAGCCATTGAATATGTGCATTTAAAAACTTCATTATGTAATTGCAGGGGTTTAAACCCTTGATAGCTTAAGCTATCTTCATGATTCCTCCTGCTTTTTGCTTTTCAAGTTTGTGTGTGTATACTTCTGCAGATATGTCTGTATTAAAGAGATATATTGGGAGTGTAATAGATTTGAAGGAAAGGTGGCATAAATCTTTATCAAAATAAATACAACTGAGAGTAAAGTCTTCTTGCTAATTATTGGTTTTTAAAAAAAATGGTTTTAGGGGTAAAGAACTTAAACCACCTAAATATTATGCATATCACTTGCCTTACAGGTTTTATGAAAGGATCTAATATGAGCTTTAAAGTATTTAAATTATGCGACAGTCCATATTTTGAGGAGTAACTTCTGTTGTTCTATAAAATCAGTTTTAAAAGCACAATTATGTGATTTTTTTTTTTTTTTTTTCCACTGACTTTTCAGGCTTATTGCAGTTTATTTTGTTAGTGTGGCTAGCCTTTCTCAAAGTTGAGCATGTATTTGCTCATCTGAGGATTCACATCACGAGGTGTTAGTTTCGTAGTGGTTCCGACTTTAAAATTATGGATGCTAAGATCAAGTAGTTAAAACAAGTATGTTAAATATAAAGAAGAAAATGTCTGTGCAGTTTTCTGAACAAACTAGTAGCAAAACTTGATTGTATAAACTCTTCTTAATTTCTCTTGCAGGGCTTTTTACTTTAATCTTAGCTGCAGTCTTTCCCAGTAACAGTGGAGATAGGTTTACCCTGTCCAAATTATTAGCCGTTATTTTAAGGTAAGATAAAGGGATGGAACACTTGATCAAAAACTCCCTGATACAGTGAGAGGATAACTATACCTACTATACCTATGGTATCTGTGATAATATATGATACGCTTCACTTTTTTTAAAATCCTTGTTCCACAGATAAATTGAGCAAGTGAATTAAGTCTTTTTAAATACTTCATATCATGAACAGTTACCGAATCTCATGCTCCTATAGGAAATTAGATTAATCAGGTTTCTGTTGGAAATATGTGAAGTTATTTTCTTGTTGTTTAATTATGGTTTCTCTATTTTTGTGTAGATGGGGAAAAAGGAAGAGGCTTGACATTTGATGTTGTCAGCCTGGTGCGTTGTTCAGGGAAGATAAAAGTGGGGTTTTGTTTGATTGTTTTTAGTTTAGGATCAGGCCTTAACAATAGAGAACTCCTTTTGGCAAAGCTGAAAGTGGGTTTTGCTTAACTAAAATACCTAAAGATAGAACTCTATTTTGATATTTTTCTCCCCCTTTTTTTCTGTCTTTGTAAAAAAGTTCTTGGGTTTAAGTAGTGTCTTGCATTTCTTTTTTTGCTAGCATTGGTGGTGTGGTACTTGTTAACCTTTCTGGATCTGAGAAGTCTACTGGAAAAGATACAATAGGTATTTACTTACTTTTTTAATCCTAGAATATGCAGCGATGAGTACTATCTTCTGACAATACTCAGCAGGTCATAGAGCAAGCTATATATTTCTTATTCATGTAACATTTCACAATCTGCCTTTTTAGTTTCAACTTTTGAAACTGGACATTTATGATGATTCCCCCCCCCATGTATTTTGTTTAATTGGGAAAGTATTTACATTTTTGAGCTTTCTACATTTTCCCATACTTTTAAACAATTTATTACAGAATCCATTACTATATTATCTCTGACAGTTTTATAATAGGTGTATGTTTAGGAGAGTTGATTCGAGTGTGCATAACATGTTTGGCATGTCTTAAGTGAGTGGTTTGGGTTTTTTTTTTCATCTTTACAGGTTCCCTTTGGTCTCTTGTGGGAGCAATGCTGTATGCTGTGTACATAGTAATGATAAAAAGGAAAGTAGATAGAGAAGATAAACTTGACATACCAATGTTCTTTGGTAAGACTAAGACTAACTCTATTGAAAGTTTTAATTCAGTGTGTGATTAAATCGTTTGCTTTCAGGCACTGAACTGTATCTGAGCCATAAAGGGGCTCCGAAAAGCTAAGGAAGTAGAGAAAGCCTATTGTTCCTGTGGTTATGAGTACTTTAGAGACTGGTTCTGTGAATTTTCTTGTTTACAGTCTTAACAATGAAAGATAGCACTACCTGTAGGAATGCAGACAGCCCCTTTGGACTCAATGGAGGTTTTTTTCCCCAATTCCAAACCTGTAAATATCTGATATAATTGTTGTTCGTGAATTTCAGGTAAAGTTCCTTATATTCCTTTCCTTTGAAAGATTTAAAACATTGCCTTGTTGCTGCTTTTATGTATGCATGTTGTCAAAATAGCAGAGTTTAGCTGAGATTTTAGTTATGTTGAAGGATATTTATTGTGATTTACTTAATACTGTTTTTATACTCAGGTTTTGTAGGGCTGTTTAATCTGTTGCTGCTGTGGCCAGGGTTTTTCCTGCTTCACTATACTGGGTTTGAAGCATTTGAGTTTCCCAATAAGCTGATATGGATGTGCATTGTCATTAATGGCCTTATTGGAACAGTTCTGTCAGAGTTCCTCTGGCTGTGGTACGTACTACATGCTTTGTATGTATTTCACATAAATTGTCTTACCTGTGTTCTCAAATGTTGAGATGTCAAATTGTCGGGGGGGGGTGTGCCTTTTTTTTTTTTTTTTTGTCCATACATGCCGTTTGAGTTAGAGGATAGTCATCCATCATGTCACAATGTCCTGTTTAAGAGCAACAGCTAACTTAAAGCAGGTGATGTGGTCTTGTAGTATTTATTAAGATACTGTGTGCTTAGCTCATTCTAGAATTAACATTTTGAGATGAAAAGACTTTGTGGTATAGAGTTGCAGTAGTAATAGGAGAGCATGAATTTCTGTTGTAACAGTTCTTCAGTTTCCAAGGCCTTGTGCATATTGGATATATATGGGTCAGAATCTAGTATTCTGTAGTTGACATGTTTGTTTAAATCTTCAAAGACTTAATGAGATAAATCTCATTAGAATGCATTAATCATGATGATACGGCAATTCATAAATTAGCCTAGCTTTTGTTTAATTTAATTATACGATAGTCTGGATAGGTCAGCAACAGAGGATTGAACATGAGACTACTAGATGAACGGCTCAAAAGCTGTAGCAGACTTAAACCTTTGTATAGCTGTTAGAACGACAGTGTTATTAGAGATCTGTTTGGTAAGTCAGGGTTCCCAGCTTGAGAGAATTGAGTTTCTTCTGGGCCAGCATCAGGTTAAAATAGGGGTGTAACGGAAAATTCTACAAGTTGAAAAGTCGTATTTTATTCTGGAAACACCAAGGAAGAGTTTCCAAAAAAGAGACGTGCTTCCAATGCCGTACAGTTGCTCAGTGAACGATGTCAGTTTCAGTCCTACATTTTGAATAGGTGTGGCAGTTTGAGCTTTTGCCTGAGAACCCTTGGCGTTCAGACTCTCAGCTCTCTGGTAGAGAGACTGGAAGACTTCATGGGATAGCTACTCTGAAATGGAGACATCTGTAATCCTAGGATCCTAAGTTCACGACAGTACTGCAACAAAAAATCTAGGTGGAGTTCCATGAAAAGTTTTGTGTTTGTGGGGGTTTTTTTGTTTGTTTGTTTTCAGATCGTTTAAAGTTAGGTGGAGTTCCATGAAAAGTTTTGTGTTTGTGGGGGTTTTTTTGTTTGTTTGTTTTCAGATCAAGTTTAAAGTTATTTAGGAAATTTAATCATGACATTTTTTGTTTATTGGCAAACTCTTACACCAGTCCTAGTTATAAATGTTATTGATGGAATATTTTTGTGATGTTAATGCCATCCTGTAAGATTAGACTACAGTTCAGTATCAGTTGGTAAAAAGGTTAAGTGCAATTTCAACATAGGCAAAATAATTAAAAAAACCCCCAACACACAAAAACCCCCACAAAACAACAACCCCCAAAAACCCTAAACTTGGCTCTTGTCCCAAAATCAAGCACTAGCATAGGGTTAAGTACATGGGTGTGCACAGACTTTTTTATACACATGCCATTTGTGTAATTACTCGGAATGATAATCCAGTCAATTAAAGAGCTATTTCTATTTCCAGTTCCTTTCCCTAGAATTTTGGACTAGGACTAATTTCAGAGATGTGCTGACATCATCCTTTTGCCTGTCCAGTGTGCCACTAGTATGGTCCTCTACTCTTTCTTTGGAAGTAAATAATAACTTACAAATAATTATTAGAAAATTATATATAGTAAATTATTAGTGTTATTATTAGTAAATAATAACAAACAAACTTTACTTTGGAAGTAAATAATAACCTACTTGTTTACTCCACCCAACCACATAATGCCAACTAAATAATGTAGTGGTAGATGTGACAATTAATCCCCCCCCCCAACCTGCTGATAAGTTTTCATTGGATTCTGTACCATTTATTCATTTACAGTGTTCTGGTGGACAGGTTGGTTCTAATTCAATAGTAGTCAGTGCAGAGATATAGAAGTATTCTCTTATGATACAGAAGGGGATTTAGAATATTGGGGAGGAAGTTTGCAAAAATGCAGAGTATCTGAAATGCTTTGTTTCCTTTCTGTTCCTTTCTCATCTGCGTACATTTTTCTTTGTTTTAAAGACACAGAACAATGCAAAGTGATTACAAATATACAAACTGGTCATTTTTGCTTGGCTGGAAGTCAGTGTAGGAGGTCAGGGAGGACCTAATGGCTTGGTTTGGGAGTACTCTTCCAGTTTAACGAGAGAAATACATGCATGAAGTCATGTTCTAGAAAATGTTTTCCAAATGTGTGTTCAAATCTTTGTGTTTAAAAGGTGTTAACAAATTTCTGTGAGGTGAATTAAAACAGCAGTTTCTTCAGTGAATCACATTTCATTAATATAGTTTCAGTGATGCTGCATCTGTTTAATTTGTACGGTAACCAGAATAAAGATTGAGTAGGTAAAAAACCAAATTTTAGAATTCTAACAAAAATTGCAACTACAAGATTTCCCTTTAAAACTTAAAAACTGATTGCAGTTCCACAAAAAAAGCATAGCTGGTACTGTTTTCAGTACTTGCCAAGGATGAGAATTGCCCTTATCTTAATAAATAAATAAATTCTAGATGCCTTTGAAATAAGAGGCTGACTCAGTAGTGGGCATTACTGATTTGAATTAGGTAGAGACCCCCTTGTATTTATTTTCTTCATATGATAGAACAGGCTGTTTCATAGAGGAATATTTGCTAACAAGCCTCACTATGCTTTGGTAACTTTTGACTTGGTCAATCATAAAATGGGAATGCAGTTTTTTATATTGGATGTTATGCTCTTCACTTGGCATCAAAATGGCTCAGGCTAGTCAAGTTTTATTTATAGAGCCTTAGGTTTATATCGAAATGCCAAAGATCTCAGGAGCTCACGTGTTCTCTTAGGTCTGTCCTACATATACTTTGAGGTTCTATCATTATTATTAGATTTATAAAACTTCAGTCAATAAATCAGTCTTTTGCAAACTAATTATGACTTGCAAAGGAATTTGGGAAAAAGGGTCAGTTTTCTATGGCTGTTAAGGAGTACTACTCTGACGTATGCATGTAGTGTTGTTGTTCTGTTATTTAAATAAATTGTAATGGCTTTTTGTGACTAAGTGATTTAGAGAAGTCTAACAACTTTGTTCCTGCTTAGGAAATATGATGAGACCACTTGTAGAATGCAGAGAAGTCTTACTGAGGCTCCGAAGAGTGATTTCAAGGGTATATTTTAGAGTGAGATTTAAAAAGCACAGTCTGTTAATTTAAGAATTTGTCTATTCGTAAAAAAATTTCTTTTTTTGGGTAGGATTTCTAGACTTCAGTAACCTTTCTTTTTAATTAACCAGCCTGGGGCAAAACAGATTTAATTGTTATAAGCTGGTATTAAACTATTTCAAAATGGAAACAAACCGCAGATTTTTCTAGGTGAAGTCACTACATGTGAAGTAGTGAATTTTCCATCATCTCAAAAGGTTTGTATGGGAATTAAACCTTACTCCAGAAGACATGAATACTCTAGTTAAGAATTTTATGCAGTTTTACAGATTTACGAGAGTGTGGGTATCTCAATTTTAGATTATTAAAACAAACAATGACTCACATGTAAGCTTGATCAAATGTCTTCTGCAATTTGATGAATTACTTTAGTTGTCTTTTAACTTCTAAATAAGACCTCATTATTATTATGTAGTTTTTGCTATTATTATTATTATTTATTATTATCTTTTAGGGGCTGCTTTCTTACCTCATCACTGATAGGCACACTTGCGCTAAGCCTTACAATACCTCTGTCCATAATAGCTGACATGTGCATGCAAAAGGTAACGTACTACTAAGTTTTGAGCATTATTAACAGAATTTATTTGAATTAAATGGCAGTGGTATTTTTAACGATGCATACAATGAATGGTATTTTACTTCTGTTGCTTGTTAATAATTGTTGAACTGTGTTGTAATTAATACTCTCTTGATGTTGACAGTTACAGTGATTTTGCACTTGCAAACATGCACTTGCACACTTAAATATATTTGATTAAGATGTGGCTTGTATGAAAAGTACCCAAAGTCATCAGCAATGCCTGGCCAAATGCTTTATCTTGAACAGGCACTTCTCGGAATTAAAGAACAACTGCAAATACAGCACATCTTTAATACCTTTACAATTATAGAATTGTTACAGACTTCCTATCTTGAAAATAGTCAATTAGTGACAAAACCAAAAATCTGCAGGTTTACCACAAAGGAATGTAACAGTTACAAGGCTTAATTGCACATTATTAGAGTCATGTGGATGTTAGGCTTCCATTTAACTGTCCTCCTTTAAGTTAGTCTAGTTGCACTGGTATTGAGGTAATAGCTGTGGAAAAACCCTCCATGTAAAGAAAGAAAAGAATCTGATAATATGAGTTTAGAATAGAAACTATATGAAGTTAGTTTATATTACTCTTCAAGCTGTATAGATACTTTTCTTTTCATGCTGGTGGGGTAGAATTCTCAGTTTTAAATATTTAATTATGCATGAACTTCAACTCTAACTTTGAATATTTGAATTTACTATTTAGTCAGTGGCAAGAAATATCAAATTCTTAATTTCATGTGAATAATTATTTAGCATATACTGCAAGCATGCAGTTACTGTTTTTTTTTGTTTTTTCTTTAAATGGTGGTCACATAACTGTTTCTATTTCCTGAAAGCAGAATCACTTGTTTCTGTTCTTTATTTTGGATTTAAGTAATCCTACTGCTAAAATTTTAATTTGAAACTTAAATCACCTGTTTAACTCTTTGAAATAGCTTTCAACCTGGTTTTATAATGCATCTGTTGTTCAAGCAAGATTAATTTTTCTTACAGGGATAATGCCCTTTTTTTTTCCTTTTTTTTTTTTTTTTTGGCAGGGCATTCCCACATAGACCATTATGGCTATGCCTTTTGACACCTCTCAGTGTAGACACAGGTGTATTTGTCACGTGGCTAAAGTGTAAGCATTTCCCATCACATGCTTGTGTGCATTTTGACTGTTGGTGACACCTGTATTTCATTGACGTTAAATGTGTGTATAGGCATGTGGTATGGAGAGGATGCAGGAGTTTTTTAGAAAGCAGGGAGTAAAATTATGTGCCAGGTAATGTGTTTTTCTGGGCTGAAAATAGTGAATTAGTCAGCATTTGAGCACCTTGGCCTAAATACAGTTACTGAAGTACATGAAGATCTTTACTGAGATGATAAATCTTTATGTGAATTAGGAAGCAGTTTAGTCATGTAATAGCTTAGCTGAAAATGATATCAATAAAAATGGGCAAAACTGACCAAACTTAGAACTAACTGTACAATACTATGTCGTGGTTTAACCCAAGCACAGCTGCTCTGCTTGCTCACCCTCCCCTCCCACCCCCCCAGTGGGATGGGGAAGAGAATCAGAAGAGCAAAAGTAAGAAAACTCATGGGTTGAGATAAGAACAGTTTAATAATTGAAATAAAATAATAATAATGAATTGTAATGAAAAGGAAAACAACGAGAGAGAGACAGAGAGGAACAAAACCCAGGAAAAACAAGTGATACAGCCGCTTACCACCTGCTGACCGATGCCCAGCCAGTTCCTGAGCAGCGGTCACTGTCCCCCAGCCAACTCCCCCCAGCTTATATACTGAGCATGACATCATATGGTATGGAATATCC